AACAATAGTAATGGTGAATATATGGCTAAATATCATTTTTGTTTCAGGACTAATTTTGTTTCCATTCTGTCAATTATATTTAGAATGTTTGATCAGAATGTTGGATTTTTTTTTAACCATAGACAAAAGCTTAAGACATATTTCAATTAGGAAAAGTACTTTTCAAAAGATATCATATGGGTTCTGGGAATTGAACATGGGTCATCTGCAAGATCTGCTCTTAGTTGTTGAGCCATCTCTCCAGCCCTCATTTTTTGGTTTGTTTTAAAGGGTCTCTTTATGTAGTCCTGACTGTTTTGGAACTCAATATGTAGACCAGGCTTGCCTTGAACTAATAGAGATCCTCCTGCCTCTGCCTCCTGGAAGCCAGAGACATCAGGTTCCCCAGATGATGGGAACTGAACTTGTATGTTCAGGAAGACCAATTAAATAAATGCTCTCAAGGACTGTTTCATCTTTCCAGCCCTTATTTTTATTTTTTTAATCATATGTAGGAGTGTTACTTGTTTGCACTGTGGATCTGTGCCAAGGAATGCAGGTGCCCTGGGAGGCACAAGATGTTGGGTCTCCTGGAACTGGGACCTGAACTTCTGCCCTCTGGAAGAATAGCAAGTTCTCTTCAGCACTGAGCTATCTCTCCAGCCCTGATCTTTCATCAGTTTTCGAGACAGGATTTCTCTGTGTAGCCTTGGCTATCCTGGAGCTCTCTCTGTAGACCAGGCTGGCCTCAAATTGGACTAAAAGCACATCTCTAATTATTAGTTTCCGGATTGTACAGAATCATTCTACATACTTCTTGGAAATTACTTTTTTTTTTTAACTAAAATTAAATTATCTTTGATGCTTTTCTTTTTCACTAATATCTACTTTAATTTTTTCCCCATTTCCTTCAGTACTGGGGATTAAATATTAAGACTCTCTTTAAGGATTAGATTTTAGCCTTGATTCTGGACCTCATATAAAACTTTTTTTTTTTTTTCAAAACTAAATACATAGCCTTTCTTCCAGATCAGGGATTTTTGGGTTTAATCATATAAAGATGAAGAATCAAGTTTAGCAACCTAAAAATACTTACTTATTAAAACTATATTAATACTTTAGTAAACTATACAAGAAAGGTAAGGAGACAAGCATGTACATTTATAGAACTGCATGTCAGTCAGGCCAGATCCTGTAGAGGGAATTCCCAGCATGACCTCATTCATCTGTGAGGACACAGAACAGTCCTTGTTTAGACATACATCATCTTGTCCTGCATGAGCTGCTCTTCATCTGTTGATGGCTTCCTTCTACACATGTGTATGTCTAGTTGTCTGCTTCTTAGAGCAGACATTTACCTTCCTCATCCACCAGCCATTGGAGGAGGGCTGGGGCCTTGAAGATTATTGATTCTACCCATTCTTCCTGGCGGGTTTCCTGGCAGCCCTCTTCCATCATCGAATCTGGAATTAGATGAGCTTCCATAGCCTCTTCCTTTTTTTCACATCTTGCTGAAGCAGAGTTATGGGAGAAAAAAACAAAACAAAACAAAAACAAACAAACAAACAAAAAACAACCCATAAATACTGCTATTCCCAGAAGAAATCTGTTATAAATCTCCATGGGGACTGATTTTGGCTGTCCAACACTTGTCCATTGGAGATGTAAACCATCTTTCCTCCAGCTGCTCACTTCCAAACCATAAAACTTTCAAAAGCTCAACTTTCAGTTTCCAGAACTGAAGACCAGTCTCAGTTGCTAGAGTGCTTGCCTAGCATTTGTGAAGCCCCAATTGGATTCCTCAGCATTGCATAAAACTTGCATGGAGGTGAATGCTTATATTCTTAGCATTGAGAGGTAGAGGCAGGGGAATCAGATGTTCAAGGTTATCCTTAATACATAATAGTTTGAGGCCAGCCTAAGCTACATGAGGCTCTGTCTCAAGAAAACAAATAAAACAGAACAAAGGCCAGACCCCCAAGCTTGGGAGACAGAGTCAAGAAGATCTCTGAGACCCAAATAGTCTACATAGTAAGTTCTAGGCCAGCCAGGGCTACACAATAAAATCCTAACTCAGAAAACAAAGAAGCAACCCACAACAAGTAGGTCTGCAGAGATGGCTCAACAGTTAAGATCACTTGCTTCTCTTGCAGAGGACAGTTCAGCTCCCAGCATCCAGATCAGGCAGCATACAACCATCTATAGCTAGCTCCAGAAGACCTGACACCCTGATCTCTAGTACACTGGGCACATACATAATGCATAGACACAGATGCAGGCAAAACATCCATACATATAAAACAAAAAATTAAAACTAATAAACCTTCTAAGCTTTCAGTCTTTCTTTAATGTTCACTTCAATTCCTCAGGTCATGAAATAATCATTTTGTTACGTGGTCAAAAATTTGCCATTCTTGTTGCCAGGTGTGGTGATGCATTCGGGGAGGCAGAAACAGGCAGACCTCTGTGAATGAGGCCAACCTGGTCTACAAAGTGAGTCCCAGGAACCAGGGCTATTACACAGAGAAACTTTGTCTGGAAAAAAAGCAAAAAGCAAAACAAAAATAAACAAACAAAAAAAAAAAACCAAAACAAAAAACAACAAACAAACAGATAGTATGTACTATTATATTATTCCAATAATATATAAGTCCAAACCATTAAAAGCATACTCTGTTAAAGCAAGCATGGAAAATAATATCTAGTGTGGTACAGTTACTACTACTGTAATACACTAATATAGCTGTGGGAAACTAGTTCCAAAGAGGAATCAGTAACCAGTGTTTCCAAGGAAACAAATGAAAGCAGAAAGATTAATTTTATTGCTAGTGATTCATTTTCGTATACTTCTCTTGTTACAAATAGGCACTAGGGTATCAAGATAATTTTAAATGACTTGCTGAGAACCCTAGAAAAACTCTGGGAAAAAAAAGATTTGTGAAATGAGAGTAATGTTGTTGTTATAGAAAAGGCTTTTGTGTGCCTTGCATGTATAGACCCTGTGTTTGATCGCTTAACACCCTCCTTGACCAGAAAAAGCTTCTGTGGATAGAAAATGATTAGTTATATATACTTTTAGGGAAACTTTGTCCTGGACTCTTTGGTTACAATTAAGAGAGTTAAGTGAAAATGAAGCTAGAAGCCTCCTGATGAATGAGAAAACCTGCCTGTAGGAGGTTGTAAGGATCTGTAAAATAAGAATAAGGAAGGCAATTATAGAAGAAAAGAAACCTGTGTGGTGGGGCATGTCTCTAATCCCAGCACTGAGCAGTGGAGGTAGAAAATTAAAAACCGAAGGCCAGCCTCAGCAACACAGTGAACTACATCAGGTTCTGCTTCAAACAAACAAAAATAAATAACATCAGGAGGTGGTGAGATGGCTCAGTGGGTACAGGCATTCTTTGTAAAGCCTGACTCTGAGTTGGATCCCTTAGAGCTCCATGGTTGAGGGAGAGAACTGACTCCTGGAAAGGTGTCCTCTGGTCCACACACAACACTGTGGCATGTGCGTTCACACACACTAAAACTAATGCTATTTTTAAAAAAAATTAAATTTAAAAAAAATTTAAAAACAACACCACTTTGGGTTGTGAAAACAATTGAAAACTACAACTAGATAATAGATAAGAAGCAAGTTAAGTATCACATAAATTTGCGTTGAACTCTTCCTAAGATTGTTTTATATTTCAGTTTTTTCTTTTTTAGCTTGATTGTGGACTCTTGACCAGAAGCAAATAGTTCCTTTGCAGATCCCACATGTTTCTGTGGACACTGGCCCTCAAATGCTCCTTATTAGGTTGGTTCAAAAAAATCAAATGCCTGTTACTAGGCAGTGATGGAAGAGATCTAAAGAGCAATAATCACGTTATTAGAAATAAACGCTGTATGGACTAAAAATGTAGCTTAGTGATGAGCCCACCACCCCATAACCCATTATAAAATACCCTCTTCCCCACCCAGTCCCTAACACTAAGAAACAACAAAGAAGTTTTTCTTTCTTCTGAGAAACACTTCTGAGTGTCCTGAGACGCATTTAAAATGGTTGGGGCCCGCATGGTGGCACATGCCTTTAATCCCAGCATGCAGGAAGTAGAGGCAGGGCGGATCTCTGTGAGTTTGATGTCAGCCTGGTCTACATGTGAGATGCAGGACATCCAGGGCTAGAGATCTTGTCTCAAAAACAAAACAACCACAACAACAAAATGCAGTTATGATCACTGGAACTGCAGGAATGAAACGCATATAAATAATATGACGAGTCATTTTTTGAGAAGCTCTGATTTCACAAGTATTAGGGATGGGGCACTGGGAGAGTAAGATTGTTTGTTAATGCTGGCATCTAAATGAGACCATGTGGAGTTGATTTGGATTCTTTTCAGGTTCCTCATGCGCGCACACACACACACATCTTTTTTTGGCGTTAACAAGCCTAGAATCAGAAGTAAAGCTAGGTGTAGGATCTTAATATATTTTGAACGGAACTCCCAGAGATTGAGGCGCGCTTCAGGCTTCCAGAGAAGCAGCTGGCGTTGGATGGAATGAACCAAGAGGCCAGCACAGGGGCAGGTCGGTCGAGCTCTCGGCCATCGAGCACAGCTCTTGGGTTCTGGGGTCGTGAGAGGAGCATTGCTGTGCTCCTCTCCCGGCTGGAGAAGCAAGGAAGGTGCGGGGCGAGCAGGGGGATGGCGGGGCTGATCTAGGGGGGTGGCCTCCATGGGAAGGGACACCGGATCTCGAGACAGCCTTAGCAGTGGAGTCAGGAAGGGTAGGGACAGATTTTGGACGCCCTCTGGCCAGCTCTTCACCGCCCCACCCCCCGACGGGAGCAAAGAGTAATTCATACAAAAGGAGGGATCGCCTTTGCCTCCTGGCAATGCAAGGGACCGTCGATAAATTCTGGCCGCCCCCACAACCCGGAATTGTTGTGCCCGCCCAGCGCGGCGGGAGGAGCATGCGCCTAGGGCTGATCGTCGGTCGGCCGGAGCGCACAAGCCCACAGTCCCCGGCGGGGGGAGGGGGGGCAGGGTGCGCTGAGCGGGAGCCCGGGAGCTGGCGCGGGGCAAACTGGGAAAGTGGTGTCGTGTGCTGGCTCCGCCCTCTTCCCGAGGGTGGGGGAGAACGGTATAAAAGTGCGGTAGTCGCGTTGGACGTTCTTTTTCGCAACGGGTTTGCCGTCAGAACGCAGGTGAGTGGCGGGTGTGGCTTCCGCGGGCCCGCGATCCCCCCTTGGAGCAGGGTAGGGCCGGCGAGTGCGGGTCGTCCACCAGGCTTCTCTGCGAGCGTTCCCGCTCTGGATGGCGGGCGGTGCGGGAGGGAGAGGGTGAGGCCTACCGGCGCGCCGGGCGCCGGGAGCCTCGTGTCGGGCGTGAGGCCTAGCGTGGCTTCCGCGCCGCCGCACTCTGCTTTCTGTCCGGCTGCCCTCGATCACCTCCCAGCGGCCTTGGCTAACAAAGGGAGGGCGCGGGGCTTACTCGTTAGGGTCCTTAAGCCGCATGCTGGGGGGGACTAAGGCGACAGCAGTGGGGGACGGGGCCCGCCCTTTTCGGAGCACATGTCCGATGCCGCTTGGACGGGCATGGCCCGTGACTTGACGAGGCGACCAGGTGGTGTTTAGACGCTGGGGTCAGTTGCCCCACATGGTCTGGCCTGTCGGCGCCCTAGTCGCCTGCCTCCGAGGAGGCTGAGGCCGGCCCGCCCGGCACCAGTTACGTGCGGGAAAGATGGCCGCTCTCGGGCCTTGTAGCAAGGAGCTCAAAATGGAGGACGCGGCAGCCCGGCGGAGCGGGGCGGGTGAGTCACCCACACAAAGGAAGAGGGCCTTGCCCCTCGCCGGCCGTCTCTTCCTGTGACCCCGTGGTGTACCGGCCGCAGTTCAGTCACCTCGGGAGCTTTTCTCGGGATACCGCTCGTCCCCGCTGGGGGAGGGGATCTGTCTAATGGCGTTGGAGTTTGCTCACAGTGGGTGGAGACTACAGGCAGGCCAGTCATTCTTGGAATTTGCCGGTTGGAGTTTGGAGTGATGCTAATTCTCAAGCTTCTTAGCGGCTCAGGTATTTTTCAAACCTATTTTTCTAGGTGTTGTGAAAACCACCGCTAATTCGAATCCAACATGGGAAAGGAAAAGACTCATATCAACATCGTTGTCATTGGACACGTAGATTCAGGCAAATCAACCACAACCGGCCACCTGATTTACAAATGTGGTGGGATCGACAAACGAACCATCGAAAAGTTTGAAAAGGAGGCTGCTGAGGCAAGTATACGAAGGGAAACAGACGGGTGGGGTGGGAATATAACATAGGCAGGAAAGTTTATTTAAAATAAATGTTTTGAGTGTACTAACTGTGAATCACTGAACAGATGGGAAAAGGTTCCTTCAAGTATGCCTGGGTCTTGGACAAACTGAAAGCTGAGCGTGAGCGTGGTATCACTATTGACATATCCCTGTGGAAATTTGAGACCAGCAAATACTATGTGACGATCATTGATGCCCCAGGACACAGAGACTTTATCAAAAACATGATTACAGGCACATCTCAGGTTTGTGAAATTCACCAACCCCTGGCTCTTAAGTTCCAGCAAGAAAGCTTTATCATTAATTGGGATTATGACTTAATTTTTTAAAGGCTGACTGTGCTGTCCTGATTGTTGCTGCTGGTGTTGGTGAATTTGAGGCTGGTATCTCCAAGAACGGGCAGACCCGTGAGCATGCCCTTCTGGCTTATACACTGGGTGTGAAACAGCTGATTGTTGGTGTCAACAAAATGGATTCCACCGAGCCACCCTACAGCCAGAAGAGATACGAGGAAATCGTGAAGGAAGTCAGCACCTACATTAAGAAAATTGGCTACAACCCTGACACAGTAGCATTTGTGCCAATTTCTGGTTGGAATGGTGACAACATGCTGGAGCCTAGTGCTAATGTAAGTGACTTTGAAGTTGGTAGAGTGGAAGAAGCTGCAAATAAGGTTAAGTAACATTTGGCTGCTCTGCATTTCAGATGCCTTGGTTCAAGGGCTGGAAAGTCACCCGCAAAGATGGCAGTGCCAGTGGCACCACTCTGCTGGAGGCTTTGGATTGTATCCTGCCACCAACCCGTCCCACTGACAAGCCACTGCGACTGCCCCTCCAGGACGTGTATAAAATTGGCGGTAAGTAGACGGAAGATAAGAATATTGGACTGAGCGGTTATCAGGTGTGTTCAATTGTCTTAACCTTACATTTTAATGTTCTTAGGTATTGGGACTGTCCCCGTGGGCCGAGTGGAGACTGGTGTTTTAAAACCTGGAATGGTGGTTACCTTTGCTCCAGTCAATGTCACAACAGAAGTAAAATCTGTTGAAATGCACCATGAAGCTTTGAGTGAAGCTCTTCCTGGAGACAACGTGGGCTTCAACGTAAAGAACGTGTCTGTCAAAGATGTCAGACGTGGAAACGTTGCTGGTGACAGCAAAAACGACCCCCCAATGGAAGCTGCTGGCTTCACTGCTCAGGTAAACAAGATAGGTGCTCAGGTAAACAAGATAGGTTGATTGCATGCAAAACCCTAAAGCAAGATTTAATTGAATGTCCTTTCATTAAGGTGATTATCCTGAACCATCCAGGCCAAATTAGTGCTGGCTATGCTCCTGTACTGGATTGTCACACAGCTCACATAGCATGCAAGTTTGCTGAGCTTAAAGAAAAGATTGATCGCCGTTCTGGTAAGAAGCTGGAAGATGGCCCTAAATTCTTGAAATCCGGTGATGCAGCCATCGTTGATATGGTTCCTGGCAAGCCCATGTGTGTTGAAAGCTTCTCTGACTATCCTCCACTGGGTAAGGAGAATGTTGTCATTCACACTGAGTATCATGGTTTTTGGATATGAAGTGCTATATAAACAAGTTCTCAAATGTTTTCTTTTCCTATGTAGGCCGTTTCGCTGTTCGTGACATGAGGCAGACAGTTGCTGTGGGTGTCATCAAAGCTGTGGACAAGAAGGCTGCCGGAGCTGGGAAAGTCACCAAGTCTGCCCAGAAAGCTCAGAAGGCTAAATGAATATCCCTAACGCCTGCCACCCCAGTCTTAATCAGTGGTGGAAGAACGGTCTCAGAACTGTTTGACTCAATTGGCCATTTAAGTTTAATAGTGAAAGACTGGTTAATGATAACAATGCATCGGAAAACCTTCAGGAGGAAAGGAGAATGTTTTGTGGACCATTTTTTGTGTGTGGCAGTTTAAGTTATTAGTTTTCAAAATCAGTACTTTTTAATGGAAACAACTTGACCAAAAATCTGTCACAGAATTTTGAGACCCATTAAAATACAAGTTTAATGAGAAGTCTTGTCTCTCAATGCTGAAACGTCATTACTAAGTGCTTAGTTTAGTGCATGGATGTCCATTTGTGTCCCAAGGGAATGAACTAATCAGAGCTGAATGGTTTCAAGAGCCTAAAGATGACTAAAAACTATTAACATTTAATTTTGCTACCCCTGGTATCTTGAAGGTACTGTTAGTTATTGGTACAAACTAATTTAGGTGTGCTTTTGGCAGGGGGAGTTAAGCTAGAATTTACACAAGTAAATGTGCCACCATACAGTAGTAGCAGCTTACAGTGTGTTAGTAGTGGATATTAATATGTGAAGCAGGCTTTGCTCTAGGGATTTTAGCATTTTCAGGGAAGGCATAATTGAGTATTTTAAGGTTTGATAGAAGCACTATCTCTATCCTAGGAGAACATTTTAAATAGGCAAGAGTTTAAACCCAAACTCTAAAGGTTTTTCAAGATTTACCTAGTTTTTCTTAGGCTGTTGGTAGAGTTAAGTTTGTAAGACAGTATCAGGATTTTGAAGGTGATCTGGGGTACAAAGATTCTGATGAAAATATGAAGATGCTCTTCATATTAGGACTTTAGTGCTTTATACAATGTGAGTGCTTCAGTGTATGCAGTATGACTGCCAGAAGAGGGCATCCATATCCTAATTTTATTTTTTTTGAAGGCACCATGTGGTTGCTGGGAATTGAATACAGGTTTGGAAGAACAGGAGCCACCTCCCCAGCCCAGAAACATTCTGATGTTTTTTCCAAGTCTGAATTACACCTGTTAATCTGCAGAATATTCATTGAGCTGAAAATACAGTAGTGTAGTAGATCTAGGCCCTTGGTGAAGGATAGTTGAATTGGTGTTAAGGGTTTGATATACTGTGGAGCATAGATGTCATCACAACAGGTGGTCTAAATTTAGACAAGAGATACCTTGGAATGAGTCACTTTGAAGTACCTGGGCCTTTTGCATTCAAAGTGGCATTTTCCACCTTTTAGGTTTCTTAGTGCATGCTTGTGCGATTGGGCTGTTAACCAGTGGCTAGAGCTTTGTCAGTATGGATGGATTGTAGGAAGGGATCTTAGCACACCCCCAGGAATCGAGATCTTGCCTGATAATGCCTGGAAAATAAGGGGCAGGATTGAACCCCAGAAGGGATTGAATAAGGAAAAACTAGTGTACAATTTAGTGAAATAGCACCACCTACTGGCACTTTAAAAGCTAGGATAAAGGAGTAGTGTGTTTGGGGCTGAGGATCTGACCCAGGGCCTCAAGGTTTGCTTGTTGGACAAGCCCTCTGTCAAACAACATACCAGTATGCATCCTTTTATATTGATGGAAAGCAGAAATGAAAGTTAATATACTGCTTGCTTTATTTAAGTCTAGCTGATTACATGTTTGGCTATAAATGACTAGTCTGAATATGCCCTCAGATTCTGGCGTATAAAATGAAATTTAGGATTCAGTTTGGGGACCTGTACCAGGCACAAAAAGTATATGTAAACTTGGCAGAATGAATTTAAAGGAAGGCACTCATTAAAACATTTTGGGCATTAAATAAAAACTTTTCCAGACAGGATTTTTCTTTGTCCTGGAGCTAGCTGTAGATAGGCTGGCCTCAAACTCTGCCTCTGTAGATAGGCCTGCGCACACTGCCTCTGTCTTCCTGACTTGAGCAATAGCTTTAATGGCTGGGAAATCCACACCCCTAGCCTCTGTTAATAAAGGGTTGTTGCTACCAACAGTAGTATTTAAGGCTATTCTCTGGCTCATTCTTGGAGCTGCCTGGGTTTGGGGGGTCTTAGCAGCCTTAGAAAATAGTGAAGCAAGCTTCACTGGGTATGCTGCTAAGGTGAGCCTGATGGCCAAGTTGGGACATAGTGTAAGTAAAGACACAGATACATGCTCTATATGCATGAAACATTTTTTGAGAAGGGTATGCCTATACTTATCACCCAAGGATGATTTTCTTTGGGGGAAGATATTAGTTTAACCCAGTGCCTTTGCAGTTAAACTACTGAACTTTAATCATCCACATTTTTTTTTTTTTTTTTAAAGAAATTCGGTCAGGCTCAGGCCTGAGAACAGTTAGAGGACTAGCCTATTAAGTATTTGGGTCATTATGCGGATTTTAAAAATATTTTTAGTTTTTTGGGTCAGGCCTGCCTGCCTCCAAAGTACTGGGATTAAAGGCTGCACCACCTGGCTCTTGAAATGCTTTTCTACCTTGTTTTTTGGGGGTGGTGATGGGGGGAACAGGGTTTCTTTGTATTATCTTTGGCTTTCCTGAAACTCTGTAGACCAGGCTGTTTTTGAGCTCAGATCAGCCCTTCTCTGCCTCCCACATTCTGGGATTAAAGGCATGTGCTACTACTGCCTGGCCACAAAAACGATTTTTTTTTCTTAAATCTAAAACCCGTTCTTTCAGCAGGGTTGTGGTGGCACACCCTTAATGCCAACACTCCATTTCTCAGTCTGTCTCAGGAATGAAGACTGCAATATTGCTGCCCCTCCCTGGAAAGGGCTACACAGAAACCCTATCTCTAAAAAACTAAAAATGGTTCTTGAGATAGGATCTCATGTAGTCTGGGACTTCTAGGTCCTGTATGAAAGGAGAAATGAGATAGACATACATCCTTGTTTCCTTGACCTGGTTCATGTTATTTAGGTTATTTTACTTGCAAATCCAAGGTGCTCCCTTATGTGGCACCGAAAGTCACTCCTATCAGTCGAAAGTCTCTGGGAACTTTCATGACAAATAACTAATTCAAATACATTTTCTCAGTACCAATTTTGAAGAAAAATTTTTATGAAATAGCTGTATGGCTGGGTACTAAATAGTGTGGCCCACTCATCTAGTGGAAATCTCCAAAAGGCCTATAAAGAAGGTTGAGTTCAGTTTGTGATCTCTACAGACATAATGAGGATAAAATTTAAAAATCCAATGTTGAATTTTAAGCTACATATATAAACAAAAGTAAACTGAGAGGTTCTACCCCCAATTCCTTAATATTTTTCAGCCCCCCTCCCATTAGTTGAGACAGTTTCTTCCTGGCTGTCCTGGAACTTGCTCTGTAGGTCGACCAGGCCTAAATCTTTAATTTAGAGATCTGCCTGTCTCTGCCTCCCTAGTGCTGGGATTAAAGGCTTGCACCACCACCACCACCACCACCACCACCACCACCACCACCACCACCACCACCACCTGGCATGTCTTCCTTTTTGAGACAAGTGCAAGCAACTCTTATAGCCCAGCATGGTATACATACATCCCTCCGAGTCTGCCTTCCCCACTCACCCTTTAGCAGCAAGTTTAAGGTTCATCTATTTTTGCATAGTGTTTTCCTATATAAGTGTTTTGCCTGCAGGAATATCTGTACCACATGCATGCCCGGTACCTGTATAAGCCAGAAGAGGGCTTTGGATCCTCTGGACTTGAATTACAGGTGGGTATTAGCCAACATGTAGGTGCTGGGAATTGAACCCAAGTCCTCTGGAAGAGCAGCAAGTGACCTTAACTGTTAAGTCATCTTTCCAGCCACTCTGCCTCACCCACTACTTTTGAGCACAAATTGCTATGTGGCTCTGGCTTGTCTGGAACTTCCTAAGTACTAGGTAGACCAGGTTAACCTTGAATTTGTGGCTTTCCTCTTGTCTCTGCCTCCCCAGCTGCTGGGATTACATGCTATGCTTGCCTCTAATTTGAGGCAATCCTCCTGCCTATCAAGTCTTGTTACAGGTGCGCACTACACTTTAAAAAAAATCTTTTTTCTTTTTTGAGACAGGGTTTCTCTGTGGCTTTGGAGCCTGTTCTGGAATTAGCTCTTGTAGACCAGGCTGGTCTTGAACTCAGAGAAACGCCTGCCTTTGCCTCCCGAGTGTGGGACTAAAGGTGTGCGCCACCACCCCCTGGCCACTTTTTAAATTTAAAGATAGTCTCACTGAACTGCCCAAATTAGCCTCCAACGTGCAATGCTATCATTTAGCCAGCCTGCCCATGCCGGGCTAAAGTTTGCAATGTTTTTTATGTGCTTGTAAACACATATAGCATTGACTGAAATAAAAACTACATTTTGAAACAGGTGGTGGTAGTATATGAATTTAATTCCAGTACTTGGGAGGCAGAAATAGGTGGATCTGAGTTCAAGGCTAGTCTACAGATTGTGTTCCAGAACAGGCTCCAAAGCTACAGAGAAACTATTTTGGAAAAAAAAAAAAAGCTACCTTTTGAAAGGTATCAGAGCTAGAGAGATGGCTCAGCAGTTAAGAGCACGACTAGCTGCTCTTCCAGAGGACCTGAGTTCAATTCCTACTACCTACATAACAGTTTACAACTCTAACTCTAGTTTCAGGTGATCTGGCACTCTCACAGACAAAACACCAATGTACATAAAAATAAATTTTAAAAAAGAAATTACGCATCAGTAGACACTGACCTGGAAAAATTAAAACTAGATATAACAAACAAAAAAACCTAAGAAGCTGGGAGGTGGTGGGGCACACCTGTAGTCCTGGCACTCAGGAGGCAGATGACTGTGAAGTGTGAACCTTGAGATCAGCCTGTTCTACAAGGGCTAGTCCCAGGACAGGCTCCACAGTCACAGAGAAACCCTGAATTTAAAAAACACTTCCCCGCCAAAAAAATTCTAGGAACATTGAACTACATCCAAATGACCACGTCAAACTGTATATAACAAAAGATTTGGATGCCTTTCCAATAATCAGGCCTCGGATATACGGCCAAACTGACTGGAGCTCTTGCCACATGAAGTTCTAGCTGAAGCCTTGGCAATCTGAGGGACTTCTCCCTAGGTAGGCTAATAGGCTGGCTGTCATTAAACAAACAGGATCATCTGGTCCATTTGGCTATATCCCCTAGTCTATCCATAAATGTTGGTCAAGGGACCCACACTGGTCACCCCTGTGCAGCCCTCAGATACATACTATCTGCTATACTAGAAAAGGAAGGGTACAGCATTACTAGACACAATTCATCAGTTACTATGGATGGATTGCTTTATTAATGTTAAATCATGGCCAGGTCAGTTTCATCAGCATTTTTGTTGTATGAAATCTGACCACCTTTAGCCTCCCTCAACCAGCTTACAAAGTAAGTTTATGTGTCTGTTTTATAGTATTTATTAATGTTCAAAATTAGTGACTATTGAAAATTTCCAAAGTACTGAAATATAAGATTTAAATGTTTAGTCAGTTTCTAACCTACAAATTAATTCTAAAATTAGAAACTGCATGGGCTACACATATAGCCACCACCTACCTACCCACACACCTGAGGCAAGAGTCTCATGTAGCCTCAAACTGAAGATGACTTTGGATTTCTGAGCTTCCTGACTCCTCTTTCAAGTGCTAAAATAAGAAAAAGAAGTATTATGTGTGTGGGTGTTTGGCCTACATGTATGTGTACCACATGGCCACAAAGGCCAGGTGTTGGATCCCCTGGAACTGGAATTATATACTGTTGTGAACCATCATGTGGGCGCTGAGCCTCAATTCTTTGTCCTCTGAAAATGCAGCTGAAAACTTAACTGCTGATCCATTTCTTCATCTCCTACTCCTCCCTCCCTTTCCCAGTATTAGGATTACATGTATATAATAGTGTAAAAGCACACCAGTTGAAAGCTGTTCTCAAATGAGAGAAAAAAATAAAGTAGCTGACTGAATCTGGGTGGTTTTGTGGTCATTTTTCTTCTTGGGGGTGGGGGTTTCAAGACAGGCTTCTATATTATCTTGGCTGTCCTGGAACCTGCTTTGTAGACTACAGTGGCCTTCCCCAACTCATAGAGATCCACCTTCCTCTGGCTCTCAGTGCTGGGATTAAAGGTGTGTGTGACCATTGACCAGCTCAGTCTTCATTTTTCATCCTGACTTAAGACCTGAACCACTCCTTCCTACAGGAAGCAGACAAGGTTAAGCCTGTGGTTTGGTGACTGTTTCCCCCATCTTAAGTTTACCTGTAAAAACATCATAGCACACTTGGTACCTGTACACAACATGGGAGATGGAGTTGTGACATGAATTCATCTGTCTCCATACTTGCAGATAGGACTTCATTGGGACCCAGATAACCTTAGCATGTTCACTCAATTACTTCGCTGTTTGTCTTCTTCCAGAGTCTCAGGCTTTTAAAAAGACCTTGATGGATTCAGCACCCTCAGACTTTCTTGACAAAGTAACATGCCCATCAGGCATTTGGAGTCAAACCCCTTTAGATTTTTATCTTTATAATTGGGCTTCTTGATACCATTTCTGGACTGGTTATATTTATGTGGTTCTTGGCAATGTCTAAAAAGTAATGGGCAGTTCCTGAAGACCGGAAAAGAGCAAGCTTCCCTTCAGATTTTATTTGGGGAAGGAAACAAAGAAGATCTGGGAACTAGTCAAGGCCAGAAGAGGGCATCAGGTCCCTGAACTGCAGTTACAGGCATCAGGTTGATGTGGGTGCTGGGAGTCAAACTCAAGTCCTCTAGGCATAGCAAGGCTCTGGGCCACCTTTCCTTCCCCCAATACTTTTTGTTTCTAAAACTCAAGGACCATTTTACTACAGTTTGAGAGAAAAACAATAGGGTAGGCAAACTGTAAATCTCTGCAGCTGCCAGGGAGAGGAAGCTGGGAAGAGAGAGAGAGAGAGAGAGAGAGAGAGAGAGAGAGAGAGAGAAATACCATTTGGTTAAAGCATTCAAGAATGGAGGAGCTTTGTAGTATGAGTGTCAGGGAAAGCTCTTCTGTCTAACTGACAAATGTGGACTAAGGAGCATGACTGTAAGTGACTGACTGTCTTTGTTTCCTTGAGACCAGGTCTCACTGTGTAGCCAATTTAATGCTGAACTCCTGATCCTCCTGCTTTAGCCTCTTTTTATTTGAGACAGAGTTTCTCTGTGTAGCCCTGCCTGTTCTGGAACTTGATCTGTAGACCAGGCTGGCCTCAAACTCAGGGATCCATACCAGCCCAGCCTCTTAAAGAGATGGGATTACTTAAAATCTGTACCACCACTCAGTTTCAGGGTTAGTTTTGACTTATTAACCTCTGATGAATGCTATATGACCTACAGAAATAGGCTTACAATATAGAGCCCCAGAGAGAACTATACATTGTTTTTTAACTATTTTGCTTAGATACAAAAAAAAAGCACAACTGTAACCTTTGTCTTACAAGTACAAAGCTAAAATAATATAACAATGCTATTCTCACAGGTGCTTTTTTTTATACTCTCTAAGCCCTTTCTAGAAGTCCTCTATGAAATGAAAGTTACAGTTCTGTCTCCAAGTTTCTTTGTATCATATAAGTACTATTTGGTTTGGTGTTCCTTCACTGCTGCCTGTCTTTGCTGAATGGTCTTCACAAATCTGAGCAGATTGATGATGGCAGCTGGTGTCACTCCAGGTATACGACTAGCAGCCCCAATCTAGAATGAAAATGACAAAAGAACCAAAGTGAGCTACTCATATCAAATCTACTCTCCTCAAACTCTCTTTGTACAGTTTAAAAAATATTTAGATTCTCAGTCAGGGTCTGGCTAAACTGAGCAGATTGGCTTTGAATTCCTGGGTGAAAGATATTTTCCATCACTTCAGTTTTCCAAGTTGATAGCTAGGCCAAAGACAACTCTGTGCAATCTATACCCAGTTCTCTGGACAGAAAGAAAACAAAACAAAACAAAAAAAAGTACATGCTTCTAACTTAAATCTGTAGTTTTTACTAGGACACACAAAGGTATCTGCTTTTTCTGCAATATAGATTTCAGTACAGATTGGTAATGTTATATAATATATCTCAAACTTTTATGTCCTTTTATATAATAAAGTTCGTATTAGACTTCAGGAGATCAAAAGTCATAAAGTTTGGATCCACTTATCACTGGTCAAAAGGGTAAGCAGGAAATGGCACAGGAAAAATATGTCCCTTTTCCCTAGTTATGATGCTAAATCAAACACGGTGGTAGTGTCACATGGCTTTAATCCTAGCACTTGGGAGGCAGAGGAAGGCCAGCCTGGTCTACAGAGCGAATGCCAGGATACACTCCAAAGCCACAGAGAAACCCTGTCTCGAAAAACAAACAAACACAAACAAACAAATTGCTAAATCAAAAGAAAACTCCCTTCCACTAATAACCCAAGATTGGGTTACCTGTAACAAGAGGAGGGAATGAAAGAGGTAAACTAATAAAGGGACCAGACCCTCACTTAGCCCTCTACTTTAGTAGCCATGACAGGCTACAAAAAAAGGACATGTAGGCCTCTGACTCAGCACATGACACAAACAAACTTCAGATCCCTTGGCCTCTGGGAGCCTAGGCCCAAAACTGAACACAAATAAACTCCAGACACCCCCTGGCCTCCTAGATGCTTGGTTCCTGGGAACTGTTTGGTCACAAAAGAAACTCTATGGGAGACCAACACCTCCCCTGTAGTCTCCAGGATACAATTCTAAAAATTATTGTTATCAATGAACAACAGGCCACCTGCAAGTAACAAGACAAAGCTATAGAAACCACACAATGCTCCTTCTCAACACTGACCAATAAGAATTGGTGCACAAATATGACTTTGAGAAATTCCTGACTGTTTCCCAAATGTCAACCAATCAGAAACCAACCCGTACCTATTGATGTAATACTGCGATTTTTGCCTTTAAAAACCTGACAGTAGATAGGGAACTCGCTTCCTCTGGTGGCTGCTCTGTCAGCCAACTGGACGAGGTCCCTGTCATGGACTGATGAACAATAAACCTTATACATTCAAATCAGTGGGTCTGTTTCTCTCTGGTGGTCTTTGGGGATTCTCACTACTTGGGCACAACACTGAGTTCAATGCCTGCCTTGTCCACAGAGCCAGGACTAGAAACTCTGCCTTGAATCCACTCCCCCAAAAATATATATAATAAAAAATAAATTAAAAAAAAAAAAAACAACAACAACAACAGAGGGCTGGAGAGATAGATGGCTCTGCATTTAAGAGTATTATCTTCTTTTGCAAAGAACGTAGATTTAGTTCCCAACACAACATGGCAGCTCATAACTATCTCTAACACCAGTTCCAGGGATCCATTGCCCTTCTTCATCTATCTTCATTGGGTATGTACATGGTTGGGATACATACAGGTAAAGCATTCATGCCCATAAAAAAATCTGAATGTAATTAAAATAAGTTTATAAAGCAGATAAAGGAAATGTAACATTATATCTTCAGAAGTAAAAGCAATGTGTGCAAGATCAGAAGTAAACTGGGCATGCATGTAATGATAACATTCAGGATTGCCAGAAGGATTCCAAATCTGAAGCTAGCTTGGCCACACTCAACAAACAAAAACACTTCTAGGTCTTGGCACATACCCATAATCCTAGCACTAGCAAGACAAAGACAGAAAGATCTCAAGTTCAGAGACTCTAATCATCTTCCCCCCCATTCCCAAAACACGCTACAATATCTTTTCCTTTCCATTAAGAAGATCTGTGAGAGGGCTCATTGATTAAGAACACTTGTCACTCTTGCAGAGGACCAGAGTTCAACTCCCAGCGCACATAAGGTGACTGGCTCACAACTATCCAGTTCCAGAGGATCTGAATCTGATACCTTCTTCTGACCTCCACTGGTATCAGCTATGCACGTGGTGTACACAAAAACACGCAGGAAAAACACCCATACATATAAAAGAAAAAAAAAATTATTTTAAAGAAGGGAAATATGTATGTGGTATAGATTGCAATTAACATAGAGATTCACAACTGGTCAACATGCAGAATACCAGACTTTGGAGGGCTCAGCCCTAAATAAGATATCTGTACCAACACTGCTGCCTTCAAAGCTCAGGGATCTTTGAGGAAGAGCAGAGATGGAAAAATTCTGAGAGTAGATGACTTAAAGGAAGCAGTGGTTTCAGAAGACAACAGACAAGAGTTGCCCAAGTCCAAGCCAGGCAAAAATCTCTTGATGGAGTGAGGAAAGGGACTAGGAGGAGGAGGAACGTACAAGGTCCCACCTCTAGCTCAGAGTTATTGGCTTTTCATAATTATTGGGGGGTTGGGAGGGAGGGGGAGAGTTTTGTTTTGAATAATAAATAAAATTTCATGTTTACATTACACTGCTTTGCTTCAAGGGTTGTACAACAAAACATTTTTTTTTTTTAAAGAAAAATTTTCTTTTGCTGTTACACGATGAGTGTTTTTGAATGCACATAAGAACACCATGTACATATAGTGCCCTTAGAGGTCAGAAGGGGCCATCAAATTCCCAGGAACAGAGTAGGCTGTAGGAACCCACCACAGGAACCCAAACCAGGGTCCTTTGTTGCTGCAGTTAGCTCTCCAGCTCCAAGATTAAGTTTCTCAAGGTCACTCAGGTGATCACAAAAGTCCAGGATTAAAAACTAAAGCACTAGCCCTTTCTGGCTTTGCTTGTAACTTGCTTCTTCCCACTGCTTGTTTGCTTACTGTCTGTGGGCGACTCAAGTGTAGCTTCTCTCGAACTTCCTGGGACAGTGACACATCTCTGATTGTTAAATAATCTAGGTCTTCTGGCAGTTGCAAAGCTTCATCTCGCTGAACCTCCTTTATTTCTTGTAGTTGAAATACCAATACAGATTCATAAGCAGCTGATAAAAAAATTAGAATTATGATACATATATCACACTTAACAAACTATATTTGTATAACCTTTTACTGTTTATAAATAGCTTCTGCATACACCAGCGCATTCAATACTTGATACTTTGAGACAGGTGGGGTAGATAATCTTCACTATTTATTTTTGAGACAGAATCTCATGTAGCTCAGGCTAACCCTGAATTCCTGGTTGGTGTTCCTTTTTGAGGTATGAAAACTAGAGGTTATCATGCAGATGAAATACATATAGTCAAGGATAACGTTACACTACTGATTGTCATCCAGCCTCTGCTGCAAAAGTGGCAGTACTACAGGTGTCTGACACCATGCCCAGCTGATCTGACTTTCTTGTCAGTGTAAATGTTAAGTCCTAAAAATGGGCTGTTTCTCAAGAAAAATGGTTCTCCAAGTTATTTTCATGTGGAAGCTGTGTGGTGTGTGTCTCTCTGTGTGTTTTAAGGTGGCCCCAGGGATTAATCCCATGGCCTATACATGCCAGACAAGTAGTTCTACTATCCAGCTATGCCCCCAGCCCCAAAGCAATAATTTTTTTTTAGAAGTGGGGTTCCTTGGATGGCAAACATAACATGCAATTTAGTTAATTTTATTGCGAAGTAATGTTCTGGAGCTGGGCAATTAACTTTGTCAAGCATGCTATTCTTAGAAAAATAAAGTCAAAACTTAAAAGACTTGTTTTTGGTACTGGTGATTAAGTCCAGGACTCAGGGCATTGTAAATGCTAGGCAAGAAGACATACACTCCACTGTAACTACTGAGTTATGTCCCTATCTCTTTTTATACTTTTTAGACACTGTCTCACTGAGCTGGCCAGGAAGACCTTTTACAACCTCTGCCTCAGCTCCTGAGTCCTGGGTTTACACAGGAATGCTTTACTATACCTGGCACAATTTTATGATTCATAAATAGCCCTCAGGGTGTAATGGAATGTGATGGTTAATACTGATCATTGATTTGACAAGATTTAAAATCATTACGTCTGCCAGTATGTTTCCTAAACAGTTTAAATGAAAAAGGAAGATCCACCTGAATGCAGGTGGTCCCATTACACAGGCTGAGGTCCTGGACTTAAAAGGAGAGAGGGAGATGAGTGCTGGCATCTCTGCTTCCTGGATGTGGATGAACTATGATTAATGGCCTCATTCCCAGCAAACCAAAGGTTAGCTGCTCTCACTACCATGTCTTTTCCACCAGGATCTCCTCAAATCATAAACAAAAATAGACTCATCTAAATGAATAGATGAATGATACTACAGGTGGCTCTCTGGCCTTTGCATGTATAAACCCTTCCTTGAGTGGCTTAAAAAAGAAATTACTTTATGTTATTTGTTTTTTTTTTTTTTTTTGTCTGCATGAGGGTGTCAGAAACCTTGGGACTGGAATTGTAGACAGTTGTGAGCTGCCATGTGAGTGCTGGGAATTGAACCTGGATCCACTGGAAGAGCAGCCAGTGCTCTTAATCACTGAGCTATCTCTCCAGTCCCTTGAGTGAATTCTTGCTAGGTACAACAAGAGAGTAATACATGGGACAGCTGAGATCTTGCATATGGCCAAGGGCATATTTATTTAATCTCTCAAATATAAATTACAAAACAAGAAAGATAATACAATGTGACACTAACTTCTGCACTTAAGAGTCTTATCTAGGGGCTGGCATGTTGCTCAGTTGGCAGAGGGCTTATCTAGCATGCTTGCATCTCTGGGTGATTTTAAATCCTGTCAAGTTGACAACCATCACATTCCACTACTGCACAAAACCAGGTACAGTGGTACACACCAGCAACCACAGCACTTATAGAGGCAAGAGGATCTAAAAGCTCAAGATCATCCTCATCTGCTTAGGAGTATGGGGCCAGCCTGGGCTTAATGTGACCATGCCTCAAACAAACAAATCACTGGAGAGTGGTTAAGAGCACTTGTTGCTCTTGTAGAGGGTCCTTTGGTTTCCAACACCCTTCTCAGGCAGGAAGTGTGTAACTCCAGTTCTAGAGGATCCAACACCCTCTTCTGCCCTCCATGAACACCTGCGCGCGCGCGCACACACACGCACACACAGATACAAACACAAAAATGCAAATAAAAATAAAATTAAAAAAGAAAAAGATTAAAAGAAGGTTAGGAAGATTCAAGTAGTAACTTGAAAATCACCCATATATGTTGTACTTTAACCCAAAGTGGTTTCTTTTAAACCTCAAGTGGGTGCTGGGGGGCAGCTATGTCATTGGTTGAATTATTTCCTCTAAACAAGTTAATGGTAAATGCTGGACTATGATATTTACTGAAGAAAATAAAGCTGTGCACCAAGTTTAAAATATGTAATCTAGTCAGGAGGTGGTGGTGTACACCTCTGATCCCAGCACTTGGGAGGCAGAGGCAGGTGGATCTCTGAGTTCAAGGCTACCCTGGCCCACAGAGCTAGTTCTAGGACAGCCAGGGCTACAGAGTAACCCTGTCTCAAAAACAATAAACAAACAAACAAACAAATAAACAAAACCCCCCAAAAAACAATTTAAGCAGCTATTTCCAGTGCTACACCCTAAATATCTAAAGTACCTTTTTAGTAGAGAAATCGTAATAGTGGAATAAAGTCTGTACTCTTCTAGTATGTTGTCACTAGTATTAGGTAACTTGAGTTTTGTTTTTAAGATTTTACAGGTTATTTTTAACCATGTATATGTGTGTAGTGTGTATGTATTAAATGCAGGTGTCTGTGGAGCCCCTAGAGCTGAATTTCAGGTGGTTGGGAGCCACCTTATGTGGATGCTGGAAACTGAACTCTGGTCTTCTGAAAGAGCAGCATGTGTTCTTAACCATGAAGCCATCTTTCCAGTCCCATCTGTGTTATTTTATAAGTCAAATTTAATTTTTTAATATTGGGTCATTTGAAAAAATGTTTCTAGAATTCCTAGTAGGTTTCTTTTCATTGCTGGCTTTTTATAAAATTACATAACGGAATGGCAGGCAATACATGGGTCATTCTACACACATAGCCAAAGCATAGTAAGCTGACAGATCTCTGTGGAATTTAAAGAGACCACCAACCCTGCATGGAATGGACCATTCTCACCATCTTGGCTGTTCCCTAAGGAGTTTAAAGTCTTTTCCTGTATAAACAGCATACATCATCCCACTTTTCCTACCATTCCATAAGCATCCTGTTCTGTACCCTTTTCACTGCTTAGTTTCTATAAAAGCATGATGCCAATGTTCTCAGGCATGTGCTACTATGCTCAGCAAATAGCACTCTCAATGGCTCTACTGTTCATTCATAATCTGCACACATGGGAAAGTAAATACAGGCTTCTGAAGGAAACAGCTCTCTTTTACCTTCTATTTTCAGTCTTCTAGCCAGCTCTCTATTAGCAGTATACTTCTTCAATGGTTCAGGAACAACACTGGCTAGTAAGTCCATGTTAACTTCTTCACACTTAAGAACATCTAGAGCGCTGTCAACGTAAAAAGTTTTGTCAACATAAGGATCCATATCCTGTAAGGCAAACTAATAATAAAATTCCTTGGAATGACATTAAGTATCAGAGTAATTAAAAGAGTCTCATTTTCCTCCTAAGTATAGTGAGCAAATGCAGCAGCATGGGACCAGATGTGGTAGTGCACACTTTTAATCCCAATGCTCAGGAGGCAGAGGCAGAAGGACCTCTATGTTTGAGGCCAGCCTGGTCTACATAACTAGCCCAGGCTACATAATAAGTAAAAAGTATAGTATCTACAAAGTAGGTCGTAAAAAACAAAAAACCCACAAAAAACCAAAAACCAAACAAACAAACAAAAACAATTGGGGCTGGAGAGATGGCTCAGTGGTTAAGAACACTGACTGTTCATGTAGAATATCCGGGTTCAATTTCAGCACCCACATGGCAGCTCACAACTGTCTGTAACTCCAGTTCCAGGGAATCTGACAACCTCACAACAATGCACATAAAAAAAAAAAAAAAAAAAAAGAATAATTGATTCTCTTTGGGCCTGGTAATGCATGTCCATAATCCCAGCACTTGAGAGGCAGAGGCAACAATATTGAGATTAAGTGTCAGGCCATTCCTTTGTTAACACAGCAAGTTTGGGGACAGCCTGGATTACAGGAAACTCCAGCTTAAAACCCCCATCCAAAAGTACAGATTTCCTGACTTCCCATCACAAGAATTACACTGTTTTTAGGCTGTAGTCTCCTTTTGTTTCACAAAAGCATCCTCTGCTAACAAGGGTTTCATCCCATTCAGAGCATGGGGAATGCGTTTCACAACTACTAAGTTTTGGTAGTGTATTATGAATGAACTATCCTTCTGCATGCTAGGGTTCAGATATGGTTTGTGTTCCTTAAAGGCTCATGCTCTGGAAATGCAGTCTCTCTGTCACATTGTTGAGGCACACCATTTAAGGAGAAGGACTGTGACCAGCAGTAACTAGGTCTCTGCTCTTCAGAAGAGGTCAACACAGTTGACACTAGTGAGCTCTCATCAGCAGAAGAGCAAGACTGACGCCTAGATTTTTGGCTTCCTATCTCTTTATGTGGTCTCTGAAGAGCAGCCTATCAAAGAAAATGAGTCCTTCTATATTTTGGTTTGGAGCCTCTAATACTGAGGAAGACCAAAAAATCTCATTATAGAAGAGATGCTGACTGTGATTTCAGAGGACCCAGGTTTGATTTGCAGCACACACAGGGCAGCCCACACTAGTTCCATGGGACCTGATCTTTCTTCGGGTTCCCTGGATACACAACGTGCATATGGTGCAGATACACATGTAGGCAAAACACACACATAAAAAATAATTTATAACCATACATAAATAAATATATTTTATTAAAACATTTTTACTAGGTACAGTGGTGGTACATGCTTTTATCCCAGCACTTGGGAGGTAGACACTTTGGGACTGAATCCAAGCAGTTACTCATGCTAAGCACATACTCATTCTACCATCAAGCCACACGCTCAGTCACATATATTTCACATTTCTTTTAAAATTTATTTTCAAGCCCAGGTTTTCTGGACCCCAGTTTAGACTGATCTGAAACTCCCAATCCCAGCCTCCCTCCACCTAATTGCTGAGATTAATGTCAGACATATTTATATATACCGAATAAGTAGATGAATTATACTAAAGGCTACTGAGAAGCCTTTAGTGTAGGTAGGGGGTCTGTATAAAATAACCCTCTGAAATCTCATTTTTCTGTAAAAACTAAGAAAAGTCTATAATGAAAATCATACCTGACAGGAAGGCTTCTATTCACACTTATAGGAGCTTGCGGAATTAACTTTTTCCACTTGGAGCTTGAAAGCTCAATGGATTTCAACACAGAGATGCCTTCTTCTAAAGAAGATTTCATCCACAAAGCTCTTTCATATCGCTGTGGAGACACACAGCCAGCATCCTTATGGGCTAGGAAAGGAAGAGGAAGAAATTTTAAAGAATAATGGAGTGCAGAGCGTGACAGCACACACCTGTAGTACAAGTATATAGAGGCAATTGAAGGAAGACTACAGTAATTCAAGGCTGACCAGTCTACACATGAAGACCTTGTCTCAACAGCCCTTCCTGACAACTTCCCCTTCCCAAGGCAGGATGTAGTAGTCCCTCACTGCTTGAGAGGTGGAGTCAAGAACAGGAACACAAAGTCACCTTAGCTACACTTTAAGAGACCCTGCCTCAAAACAACTACACAAACCAACAATAACCCAAAAGGCAGTGCAGTACCTTACAGGACTTGGTTACAAGTTACCTCGGAATGTGAGGCGGCTATCAGCATTGTCTGGGCGCAGTGACAAACGGAACTCTACTCTGCTGGAAAACATGCGGTATGGTTCACTGGTGCCCAATGTGGTGAGATCATCAATCAAGACTCCTATGTAGCCTTCTGTGCGACTCACAACAAAGGGTGGTTTCCCACTGACCCGAAGACTGGCATTGATTCCAGCTATCACACCCTATAAGAGGACTGAAATGTTTAAGAGGCCATTATGAACTGAACAAATAGCTACTCTATTTAGCACACTTACCTGGAAAACAAAAACAAAAACAAAACCCAAAAAGCCAGCAAGGGTAGGAAGAGCCAGTCAGCAGTGGCATATGCCTTTAATCCCAGCACTCAGGAGGTAGAGGCAGGCAGGTGCATCTCTGAATTTGAGGTCAGCCTGGTCTACAGAGTGAGTTCCAGGACAGCCAAGGCCATACTGAGAAACCCTGTCTCAAAGAACCAACACACACACACACAGGTTCATAAGAAATATAAATATAATCCACATTCAGAAGGGGGTTGGGAGTGTTAATCTTTGTGAACCTATTTGTGAGACTTCTCTACTATGTACAAACAAACAAACAAACAAACGATAATTTACCCTGTGTGATGGTTTGAATAAGAAAACCCAGAGTCTGAATGCTTAGTAATCATGGGATTTGAGAAGGATTACAAAGTGTGGCCTTTCTGATGTCCACATCTATCCCAAGAGGGCACCTGGCAGGAGTGTGGTACATGGGACTTACAGACAAGAAAAGTTCAAGTTAACCAAGTTTGAAAGAGAAATTCTTCATTTTGAATTTGATTATTTGTTGTATGTTTGTTTGTCTGCTTATGTATTTACTATCTTTTATTTACTTGGGACAGGGTCTTTCTGCATAGTCCTGGGATTCACAAAAATAAAATGTTAACCCATAAGAAAAAAAAAAAAAAAAAGGAAAAAAAAAAGAAAGCATGGCTTTGCTGGAGTAGGTGTGTTATTGGGGGTGGGTATTGAGGTATCAAAAGCCTAAGCCAGGCTCAGGATCTCTTTTCTCCTGCTGCCTGTGGATCTAGATACAGAACTCTCTGCTACTTCTTCAGCACTGTGTCTGCCTACATGCCACCATGTCCCACCCAAGATGATAATGGACTAAACCTCTGAAACTGTGCTTTCTTTTATAAGAGTTGCTGTGGTCATGGTGTCTCTTCACAGCAATAGAAGACAATGGTTAAGAATACTATGCGTTGGTGGTGCACACCTTTAATTCCAGCTCTTGGATCTCTGTGAGTTTGAGGCCAGCCTGGTCTACAGAGCTAGTTCCAGGACAGCCTCCAAAGCAATACAGAGAAACCTTGTCTATAAAAACAAACAAACAAAAAATCCCAAAACAAACAAACAAAAGGAAGAAAAGAAAAGAAGAATATTATAGGAGGTTGGAAAGATTTCATAAAATGCCTACCTCCAAAGCATACAGATCTCAATTGGATCCCTAACAGTCTCATGAAAAACCTGAGCGCAGTAGTACAGGCATGTAATCTCAGCACTGAGAAGGCAGACAATTGGACCACTGAAACTCATTGGTTTAGCCTAACTGGTATGTGTAATGAGAGATTCTGTGTCAAAAAAGTAAGGTGGAGGGGTTGGAGAGGTGACTCAAGAGGTTAAGAGTGTATAATGCTCTTGCAGAGAACCCAAGTGTGGTTTGCTGTACCCATGCTGGGCAGCCCACAATCACCTATAACTCCAGCTCTAGAGAAGCCCTCTTCTGGCATCCTCTGGCACAGGCATTCGTGTGCATGTACCCCTTCCCATCCATAATAAAAAATAAGGGAGTTTGATCCCAGCTCGTACATGTGACCCACAACCATTTGTATCTCTAGTTCCAGGGCATCTAATGCCCTTTTCTGGCCTCCACAGGCACACATGTGGTACACAGACATACATGCAGACACAACACTCATACACATAAAATGAAATTAAAAATAAGGTGAAGAACAATTGAAATGATATCTAATGCTGATCACTAGCTGCACAAATGTGCACACAAACAACAGAGAAAGGCAAAATAGCAACAACACGTAATACTCATCAATCTTATAAGAATTAAATGTTTTTTTTACACTTCATAAACAGTTCCTTAATTTTTTTTCTCAGTATCCTGGCAGATCTAGGAATTCAAAATCTATAATCCTAACACTAGGGGAGAAAAGCAGAGAGATCAGCAGTTTGATCTAGGAGTGGTGGTGCACACTTGTAATCTTAGCGCTTGGAAGGTGAGCCTTGGCTATATAGCAAGTCTGAGGCCAATCTGGGCTACACAGCAAGACCCCTTTTCAAAACAATATAGCTGTATTATATAAAACAGCTATATATATATCCACTTAGCCCAAAATGCTGTTGTTTCCAAAATCTGTATAATCAACAAGAGACACTAAAAAAATGAACACTAATATAACGGTCTTTTCTGGTTTATAGTAACATTTGAATAATTCTTACCTGGAGTTGGGCATGGTGGCACATGCTTGGGAGGCAGAGGCAGGTGGATCTCTGAGTTTGAAGTCAGCCTGGACTACATGGACAGCTAACACTAGCTAGAGAGAACCCTTTTAAAGGAAAATGAAATAAAACAGATCTTACCTGAGCCGCAGCTTCCTCATAGCCAGTGGTTCCATTTATCTGTCCAGCAAAGAACAGACACTGAACCAGGTGTGTCTCAAGGGAAGGACTGATCTGGCGGGGGTCTAAATAATCATACTGGACACCATAGCCTGGCAAACAACAAGTACACAAGATAAGTCAGAGTAGCTATACCTGTCTCAAAGAAGAAATACAAAGTGCATCAGACTACATGAAATGTATAGATGCTGGGCCTCAAACTTGAAGGAAGCTTCCTGTTTTAGCCTTCCAAGTGCTAGGGTTACAGATGTATGTCTCCATGTTCAGCTTTAGCTTATTTTGCCTATGGAGCACTAAGCAACAATCGAAGAACACCACCTCACTGCTGTGACCCTCTTTACCTGGATGAACCATTTTGGCTTTCTCCAAGCCTCTGATGCATGTTATCATTTTCTCTTGTAACTCAGCTGGTAGTGTAACAGATAACCCTTGTGGGTAGATAAGGTCAGAATCCATTCCTTCTGGTTCCAACCAAACCTGATGTGTGCGGTTTGGAAAACGTAAAACTTTTGATTCAATGGAGGGACAGTATCTAGAACAAAACATTGAAATTTAAAGTAAATTAGATGACAAAAAAGTTACCTCATTCCTTAGAGTGAGTAAGCACTTCTAGTCCTTACCTGGGTCCTTTTGTAGTTTCCTTAACATGGCTATTCAGGTGCAGGTTCTCAAGGACAATCTCATCCACTCTGTGGTTGGTGTGAGTCAAGTAACATGGCAGTTGATCTTCTGGCTAGAAAACAGTAATCGCATAAAACACAGATTTCATTTGCTTTGTGTGTCTGAGACAAGGTTGCTGGTAGACTAGGGTGGCCTTGAGCTCTCTCTAGAGAGAACCTCTTCTCTTGCTTGACCTCTAGACTCCTGTTGACCTCTAGACTCCTGCGATTGCATGTGGACCACCACAGCTGGCACATAACATTATTTTGCTTCTTTACTTACTGAATTGCCTCTTGAATTTTCAAATAAAACCTGCACAATACTGACTTATTTCAGAACACATTAAATTTGTGCTTAATTAAATATTCCTGCCAAAAATAAACATATAACTAAATTTAAGCAAGTTTCTAAATTTAATTATCAGTTTCTAGGAAAGAAGACAGACATAATCACACAAATCTAGGGGAAATGGCTGAACTTTTTTTATACCTAAATACTGAGGGAGGGAGCAATAGTTATAAAATGTCCTCTAGTGTAAAATGTACACTTCTCTTTTGGTCCCTGTTTAAGACAAAGCTACTATAAAAAACTATAAAAAACACATCCTAAGGGGCATTCTGAGATTGAGTGGCAGAAACACCACAGTGAAAGGAGAGAACAATGTCCACGAGTTGCCCTTGATCTCCTTAAGCGAGTCATAGTACACTTTTTTTTTGTGAGAGTTGAGAGAGAGAGAAATTGAGGGGGTGGGGGCAGAAAACACACACACACACACACAGAAAGAGAGAGAGAGAGAGAGAGAGAGAGAGAAAGAGAGAGAGCCAGGCGTTGGTGGCCCACACCTTTAATTCTAGCATTAGGAGGCAGAGGCAGGAGGACCTTTGTGAGTTTGAGTCCAGCCTGGTTTACAGAGCTAGTTCCAGGACAGGCTCCAAAGCAATACAGAGAAACCCTGTCTTGAAAAACCAACCCCCCCCCCAAAAAGAAACAAACAAAAAAAGGAAAGAAAAAAGAAAAAAAGAAATGATGTTTTAGCTGGGCAGTGGTGGTGCACACTGTTAATTCCAGCACTCGAGAGGCATTCGTTTGAGGCTAGCTAGGTTTATAGAGACACTTCCAGGAAAGCCAGGCAACACAGAGAAAACTCTGTCTTGGACCCCCTCCCCTAAAACACACACACAAAGGAATGATGTTTTACTAGGGCATAGTGATTCATGACTGTAATCTTAGCATGTGGGAAGGTGAGGCAGGAAGATTTGCTAAAGTTACATAGCAAGACCCCATCTCATAAAAACCCCAATGCTAAACCAAGTTTTGTTGTGATACTGGTTTTTCTTTGTTAAAGACATGAAAATATAAATGATCTGTTATCTATAAAAAATCACCAAGAAGTAATAAAACTGAGCCAGCCAGATGACTCAGTGGATGCCAGGCATAATGGGAAATAGGCTGGTTTCTGAGTTTACGGCCAGTGATACATAGTAATATCCTCTGTCACTTGTCATTAAGCCTAGTCACGATGGAACCTAAATGGCAGGAGAAAACTGACTCTCTCAAGTTGTCTTCTGACCTACACATGAGTGGGCACCCAACAGCCTGCCCAAACAAACAAACAGATAAATGTTTTCTAGGATATAAAACAGCAAGGTGTAGTGACATATCCCTCTAATCTAGTACTGGAGTAGTCACAGGTAGACCTCCGAGAGTTCAAGGCTAACCTGGTCTACAGTCTGAGGCCAGCCAAGGCTACATAATGAGAATCTATCTAAAAAACAAAACAAAACTAAAACTCAAAAGAAGAGGAGGATGAAACAAACCAGGGGTGGTGGCTCACACATCCATGAGTTCTAGCAAACCTTGGTTCAGCTACATAGTCAAGACCCTATCTCAAAAAAGGGGGGTGGGGAGAGGATGGAGAGATAGCTTGGCAGTAAAAAACATGTACTACTCCTTTTGGTATAGATGCAGGAGCACCTTTGCTTCCATGCACAAAAAACAAAACAAAAAACTTTAATAATAATAAATATAAAAAGGCACAATAGCATCTAAATTTTAATTCATTATACTAGTCTCCAAGTTTGTGAAATAGTTTTTTTTTTTTTTTTTTTTTTTTTTTGAGGCAGGATCTCATAAAGTAGTGTAGGCAGCCTTTAAACTCACAGATCTTTTTGCCTTAGCTTCCTGAGTGCTAGGATTACAAGAGTATATCTGCTTTGAACCTGACAAAACACAGGGCCTCATGTAGTCCAGGCCGACCTCAAACTCACTATGTAGCTAAGGATGACCTTAAAGTCTCTGATCCTGGGACTGGAGAGATAGCTCAGTAGTTAAGAGCACTGGCTGCTCTTTCAGAGGTCCCAAGTTCAATTCCCAACAACCACATGGTGGTTCACAACCACCTATAAAGAGATCTGGTGTCCTCTTCTAGCCTGCAGGTATATACGCAGACAGAACATTATATATGTATATATATATATATATATTTTTTTTTTTAAATAAATCTTAAAAAAAAAAAAAAAAAAGAGGAACCAAAAACCTCTGATCCTCTGTACCTATCAAGGACTAGGATTATAGACATATCCCTGCCTCTGGGGAATGCACCAGGGCTTTGTGCATGCTAGGTAAACACTCTCCCAACTAAACTATACCCCCAATCACCCAAAAACTAACAAGTTACAATAAAAAATTTAAAGCACTTGAGAAACAAGCAGGAAGACTGTGGACAGGAGGGCAGCCTGGGACTCTGTCACCAAAAGGCTAAACAAGCACACGCTAAGGAAACATCATCATAAATTGTATCTTACTTAGCAAAAACACATGGTAGGAAAATGAAATCCCACAAGTTGTTCTGTGGATCCCTGGGGTTGAAATCAGGCATCAGGTTCAGCTGTGTCTTTTCCTGCTGAACAATCTCACTGGCCAACTTTAATGTTTCTGTTCACACTATAGCACACATAGACACAAAGATAAAAATTACTTACTCAAAGTAATAGAATATTCAGAGCTCACATCAGAAAATTTATGAGACGCTGGGACCTCATTAACTAATACTCAATTGATTTTTTTTTTTTTTAATATTTATTTTTGGTTTTTCAAGACAGGGTTTCTCTATGTAACAGCTCTGGCTATCCTGGAACTCACTTTGTAGACCAGACTCACAGAGATCTGCCTGTCTCTGTCTCCCGAATACTGGCATTAAAGGTGTGTGCCACCACTGCCCAGGGGAATTTATTTTTATTTTGTATATGCGTGTTTTGCCTGGATGTATGTCTGTGCACTACATGCATACACTATGTGTGGAATAATAAATCAGAAACCCTGACACTGGAGTTACAGACGGTTGTAAGCTGTCACATGGGTGTTTGGAATTGAACCTTGGTCCACTGGAAGAGCAGACAACACTCTTAACTACTGAGATATCTCTGTAGTCCCTAATCTTTAATTCTAAACATACACTATACTTTTTCCACTTAAAGTGACAGAGCACTTACCTAGTATGAGCAAAGTCCTTGGTTCAATAATCAATACAAGCCCCCTCTCAAAAATAAAACAAAACAAAAAACCAGAAAACCAAGCCTCTTCCCCCAAACCAATGCAGAAAGAGTTGGGTCAATTTGAATGGACCAGCAGGTTAAGGCACTTGCTGTCACACCTGATGACCAGACCCACATGGTAGAAGGACAGAACCAATTCCTGGAAGTTGTTGTCTGGCTTCCACAAGCATTTGTAACATGAAAACACACAAATAAATTCACAAGTCAATGTGAAAACAAAAACAAATGTACAAACTCAGATTGGGGTAGGCATGACTTTGGATAATGCTGGGGTAATCAGAAGACTCTTGACAGGGTTTTCTAGCACTGGCTCAACATGACAGTCCTTGATTGCAACGCTTTTATATAAAAGAATGTCTGAGGACTGGAGAAATGGCTCAATGACTAACAGCACTGGTTGATCTTCCAGAGGTCCTGAATTCAATTCCCAGCAACCATATGATGGCTCACAACCATCTGTAATGACCTCTTATGGGCAGCAGGCAGAACACTGTATACATAAACAAATAAATCTTAAAAAAAAAAAAAAAATGTTTAGTTGAAGTTCAGATTGAATCCCCACCTCCACCCCACCAGGGTTTCTCCATATAACAATCCTGGCTGTCCTGGAATGTGCTCTGTAGACCAGGCTGGCCTCACACTCTGGGAGATCCATCTTGTCACTGCCTCCCAAGTGCTGAGATTAAAGGTGTGCACCTCAAGGTCCAGCCAGATTGAGTTCTTTAGAGAGAAAGGCTCACAATCACTGCAACTTACTGTCAAACGTTCCATAAAAAGAAATGTGTATTTACTGTACTATACAATAAATATGCATATATACACACAACTTTATGAGGAGATAATATGGTAATATGGTAAAACACACATGAAAAGAAGGAAAGGGCTGAAGAAATAACTCAGTAGTTGAGAATGCTTATTGCTCTTCAGAGGCCCAGAGTTTGGTTCCTAGCACCCAGAATGGGCAGCTCACAGTCTGTTATAATTCATATAATTCTGGCCTCCACAGTCAACCTCACACAGATACATACACAAAAATAAAAACAAAATGAAATTTAAAAAAGAAACTATAAGAAGAAAAAGAGAAAGATAGATGTTAGGACACTTGTGAATAGCCAGCATCAGCTATCAAACTAGGTTTCCATAAACTCTCTTACCTTGATCCACACTGTTTCACTGAGAAAGCTGAATGGTATGGATGGATTGTCTGGTGTCTGCTTGTTTAGAATGTTGAAATTAATGGACTCTTTGGCAAGTCGGGGTGGAGTTCCAGTCTTCAGTCTTCCTACCACAAACCCCAACTTTTCTAGAGTCTGAGCCAACCCTATAGCGGGTTGGTCCCCCAAACGTCCTGCAGGATGCATCTCCAATCCAATTACCATCATGCCTCTCAGAAAAGTCCCAGTTGTCAAAATTACACTCTCTGCATAAACTGTACTTCCATCTGCTAAATGATTAGAAAACAAAACCAGTAAACTAAGTTTCTGTTACTAGAGAACAAAATAGAATGTGAATACTTTCTATCAGGGTTACACTAAAACTTCTTGTTTCTAGAAACGTGAGAATTTATATAGTTATTTTTAAAACTTTATTAAAGTGCAACTAGGCGTGGTGGCACATGCCTTTAATCCTAGCACTCAGAGACTAACCTGGTCTACAGAGCAAGTTCCAGAACAGCTAAAGATACACAATGTAACCCTGCATGTATGTGTGTGTGGTGGGGAAGCAGTAAACTCATTTTCCTAAAACCACACAGGTACAGTGCAGTTAGTGAAGGTTCACTTAGAAAATAAAATTATGGGCTGGAAAGGTTTCTCAGAAGTTAAGAGCACTGGCTGCTCTTGCAAAGGAACTGGATTCAATTCCCAAGACCCACATGGCAGCTTACAACTGTCCATACCTCCAATTCCAGGGGATCAAACATGCTCTTCTGCAAGTAACAGGCATGCACATGGACACACACATACACCCACCCATTCATCCACAGAGGCAATCATTCATATACATTAAACAAAAATAAATATAAGAAAAGTTGCTGACTTTAGACTTTTGGCTTAAAATGACATGATTTCTTCACCCTTCTAAAACTGTCAGAAACTTAAAGGAATAAAAAAATGTATAAACAGGTCATGTGGTGGCACATGCCTTTAACCCTAGCACCTGGAAAACAAAGGTATGTGGATTTGTGAGTTTGAGGCCTGCCTCAAATACACAGAAGACCTGACTCAAAAAAAGGAAAGAAAGAAAAAAAGTTTACTGTATTTCTGAATGCTAGATAGTACCTGGAAGAATGGTAATTGATACAGAGCAGAGGAGGAAACAGGAATACTAAATTAGTTTCTCCTTGCAAACACTCAGGAATTAGAAAGCCTGTAAAAAGCGAGGCTGAGGAACTGTGCTGGTTAATTTTATGTCAACTCGACACTGGCTAGAGTCATCTGAGAGGAGGAACTCAATTGGGAAAACACCTCCATAAGATCAGGCATAGGCAAGCCTGTAGAGCATTTTCTTAACTAGTGATTAATGTGGGAGGGCCCAGCACACTGTGAATGGTGCTATCCCTGGGTTCTTATAAGAGAGCAGACTGAGCAATTCAGGGGAACAAGCCAGTAATCAGCACCCCTTCATGGCCTCTGCATCAGCTCCTATCTCCAGGTTCTGTTTGAATTCCTGTCCTGCCTTCCTTCAATGATGGACTAGGAATATGAAAGCATAAACCAAATAAACCCTTTCTTCCCCAGCTTGTCCTTGGTCATGGTATTTCATCATAGGAATAGTAACCCTAGCTAAGATAGGAATGTAGGGACAGGTGACAGCTCAGTTGGTAAGTTTGCCTGACATGCAAACTCTGGATTCAATCCCCAGCACTACATAAATTAGACATGACAGCACATGCCTGTAATAGCAGCACTTAAGAAGTAGGGGCAGTTGAGTCTGAAGTTGGAAGCCATTCTCTGCTATACTGTGTGTGTGTGTGTCTGTATATATACATATTAAAAAGATGGGGACATGGTTGAGATGGCTCAATGGGTAAAGATGCTTGTTGAAAAACCGGATGATCTGAATTTCATTCCTAATAGGGAATTAACTCTGGAAAGTTGTACTCTAACCTCCACACACATAAACTAACAAGTATAGAAACAAATTTATGACAAACAAATTTGTGTCTGGATAAAAGACACAAACATGCAGGCTCTGGAGTCTTACACTAAAACAGTACTGATGAACCCAGAATTTGACTGAGATGCCATGACAGTCAAAATGAAGAGACATAGGACTGTTTACACAATTTTCCTCACCCAGACAGAGAAAACAAGAATCTCCTGGCATGGGAAGGACATCTCTGTTCCCTTTAGAGCAAACATTGCACTGGGTTTGGTGTGGTGGGATGAGCAGTGTCAGCCGGTACATACCCAAAACAACACCCCTGACCCGGCACTTCCCGGGGTATCCAGGCTCTGGTTCTGTAAGAACTAGATCTTCTACAGTTCCCTCTTGAACGGTGAGCAGGGGTGTATTCAGGACTTCCTCCTGTCAAGAGAGAACACCAGTCGACACGGAGGTTGAAGAGACCCACAGTCCTCCCTGTCCTCACCTTTTCTCACCTGCATGTTCTGTTTATAAAGTTTCCTATCAATCTGCGCTCTCAGCCCCCACACAGCAGGGCCCTTACGCCGGTTTAATACTTTGTAATGTATACCAGACTGGTCACAGATTCTAGAACATAAGCCATCCAAGGCATCTACTTCCCTCATCAAATGCCCCTTTCCGATGCCACCAAAGGAAGGATTACAGGACATCTGACCTAAAGAGAATAGACATGATCATGGTGAATAAACGAGGTACTTTGTCCATGTTATTTAATAAAAAGCTGTTCCTCCAGGTAACTAGACTCATTTACAAAAAAATTTTCTCCTCTAACTTCACAGAAAGTGACTCACTGCACTCTAACATAGGGCAAGTGACTCACTCCTGCTCGCCGAGTTCCTATGGACTCATCCTTCTAAGTCAAAGCCATCTTTCTTCTTTGAAGCCAAGGAATTCTTAATTCTGTACCAAAATTCCTTAAAACAATCATTTTGTCCAGGTGTGATGGGGTATGCCTTTAATCCCAGCCCTCTGGAGGCTGAGACAGACGGATCACACTGTGAGTTCCAAGTCAGATCAAGTTCCAGACTAGCCAGGCACTGAGACCCTATCACAACAAACAAACATCCCCAATCATTTCATTTCAAATTAGGACTGCTTTTATTAAAATCATTTATGAGAATTATTGATAGGCCTTTGAAACATTTTTAAACATACCCCACTGCATTGGTAGAATATAGCTTTTGCACAATAGTGTATATATCCAAGAGAATTTAAACCTCCCAGGCCTATGATTTGACCTCCCAAGAACATCCAGGCCTCCACTCTCACTCCTGAAGAGCACAGTAGAGTCAGTCAGCAGCTAGACAGTATGCAGACCAGACCCACTTTAATAGATAATAGGGTTCCTGTGGGGCACTTGGTGGTGCCAGCTACAGAACCATATTGGTAGACAGAGGTGGACATCATGGTCTGCTGCCTCCTTCAGAATATGGAGATGGTCTCAGAAAAAGTTGTTAATTTTGGTAAGGCAAGAGGTTACACAGATAGCTAATGAAAACCTGGCCATTTTTCTAAATCAATTACAGGAGACCATGATTTAATATACTAGACTTGACCCAGCCTCCCCAATGGGAGCCACACAGTTCTAGCCACCTATTTCATTTCTCAGTGCTTCATATTAGAAAAAAAATTTAAAAGGCTGAGGAAGATCCACAAATTCCCATACAGGAATTGGTGAAAATGGCTTTTAAAGTTTTCAATGCCTGAGAAGAGATAGCCAAGTCCTCCTAACAGACAAGGCTACAATAGAAGGCCATGCTCCAAGCCCAAGCCTTAGCACCTGCCCTGAGGCCACATGGGGTACAAGGGAAGTCAACCACCACAAGGCTCCATCCTACTGGAGCTCAACCCAAGTCAACTCTGCCAGGAGCTTGTACAATGTGGGCAGAATGGTCGCTTGTCAAGATATTGCCTGGACCCTCAACCGTCAATGAGGCCATACCCCTCATTATCAGCCTGGATAATGAAAATCGGAATGCCCCACTGCAGGCTCGTCCTCTATGTCACTACACAGAGGTCCAACCTCACCAACACTGACAGCTGAAACTGCCAGCCTGGTGGAGGTCTGATAAGGACCAGACTTGGTGACTCCCATTGCCCTCTCCAAGCCTAGGATAACACTGCAGGTAAGTCCATTACTTTTCTTTTGGACATGGGAGCTTTCACTTGGTCTCACAGTTCCCTCTCCAGCTCCTGTCTCGGGGATGGATGGGACTCTTCTTTCCCATTTCAATAAAACCTGGGACTGCTTTAGCTCAAAGAGCTGTCTCACTTCTGCTCATCACTTATCCCCCTCAGATCTGATGGCATTTGATGCCTAGGGTACTGACAGCTCATTAGTTCATTAAGTTTCCTGCTAAAAGTACAGACAGGTGTGCCTCTTTTACAGGGTTCATAGTCAGGGATGAACAGGTTTGAGATGTAACTTCAGAAGTTCAGAGTTTTTAATTTCCTGATTGTCTTCTAAAAATGTTCATGCCCTTTAACCCAAAGCCATAGCCTTTTATGATAACACCAAGATGTAAATCTGTTCCAGCTGTGTTACAGATACCTGCAATTTCCTGGGAGAAGTTCTGCTTTTATATCAAGAAATCTGGTCTAATGAAAATAGTCTCCATAATGGAAATAGAAAAGTCTCCATTTTACTCCACCCATTTTGAGCATATTTTGCAGGTTCACTCCTGCCTAGCCCAAGGCCAACACACAGAGGGTTCTCCAGATAATGCCAGCACCTGCACCAGCTCCTAGGACTTCACTATTGGTACCAGCTCTCTAGATGTAAGTGGGCAGCTCTTCTAGAAGCTGGAAACTGCCACCCTTCGGCTATCCTAGATGTAGCATCTGCTATCCTGTCTCACTCATCCACCCTTGCCTCTTCTGTACTACCAGGACACTTTTCCATTCCCTTCTTTTTGGTAGTTATCACCCTTCCCATGGCTAGGGCCAATGACAACAATCTAGTTTTTTCTCCTAGCAACCTGCCTTCTCCACCTCCTCAAGGAACAGGTGCCTGAGGTCTACAAGATGGCAGTTAATCAAATGCTTCTTTACTCTGACCACCAAGAGGCATCCCACTGACTCTCCCCCTTACCCACATTGTCCCTTGTCAGCAGAGATGAACAGGCGTCATATGCCCAGAGAGTCTGGGATGTTATGTTGGAAGCTTTGTCCCGGCCCCTGGCATCCATATACCCAAAGAGTCTGGGATGTTATGGTGGAGATTCCACCCAAGCTCCCCTCCCCTATCTCCCTCCAAACCCTGCTGCATCTCAGAAAGCCTGCCAAATGATGGCTCATCCCCCAAAGATACTCAAGATCATTTCCACAGTGTATTTAAACTGTCCCCCAGAGAACAAACTCGTGGTTTTTCTGGTCTCCCTTTCCCATCTCTTGTCTTGGGGGCTGGAAGGCTATCCCGGAGTGCTGTATCCATTAAACGTGGGCTTTTTCTAATTCGGGTTGATTTGGATTGCTGCATCAATCAGTGGAGCGGCTTACCCAGGTGTAGAAACTTTTCAAAGTATATTCCTGTGCTCACTACTCGAAATGAAAAACAAAAAAGTAAAGTTAAAGAAAATGAAGGATGGTCTGACCTGGAAAGCTAACCAATATGTGTTCCTTGGAATTTGCTAACTTCCCCTCAGAAGGCCCTGAGACAACAAGATACCAAGAATTCACACTGCCCCTCCTTTCCTGTGAGTCAACAGGTGGTAAATAGGGTCCTTGGAAACAAAGAGATAGCTGCAACTCCGGTTTGCCCAGACAAGATTAATTAGCACACTCCGAGGCCCTAAGGTCTGTTGATCCTAATAGCAGACCATCCTGCCTCAAAGGTACTCAATGGACAGAGGGTCCCACCCCCTCCCTAAGCTTGTGGGTTTGCCTTTAAAAACACCTGTGGGGGGGGGGGGCTTCTCTCTAGCCTGTGTGCTGGAGGAGCCCGTTTTCGAAAACGTTTCCTGTCCATTAAAGCCTCTTTCGTGTTGCAGCAACTGGACTGGACATTGAGTTCTTGGGGTACTGACCGAAACTGGAAGACTCCTCATTCTGAGGGTCTTACAGCAAGAGCCCAACATATGTGAAAAATCTAATGTTTATCATCTGGTGAACTGATAAAGACGTGGAGCATATGTTGCTGCGAGTATCCGCAAGTATTAAGCACTAACCCCTCAATGGAAATACAGAAAGGAACGGGAAGCGCCGTTTTCTACATGGGCTTCACAAGCTCTCGGTGAACGCACTATGTCGGTTAATCAAACGGGAGTGAAACGTTAATTCACCCTTTCTTTGAGGTGAAAATACCGGGAAGGTTAACCCAACGACCCAGCGTGTTTTTCACCTCGGGGCACCCACCGCAACCCTGCCCAGGCTGGGTCCGATGTAGGGTCCCCGCCGCGCGCCACCAGTGCACCACAGGCTGGCCGAGGTCGTGGGCCTCCTCACCTATCGTGTCCACGCGGTGTGTGAGCAGCAGAGTCCACGAGCCACAGCGAGCAGCGGCGGCCGCCGCCTCGGTCCCCGCGTGCCCCCCTCCGATCACTACCACATCAAAGTGCGCGCCGCACGGAGCCGCGCTGTCGCTGCGGAGGCGATACAAAGGCAAGCGTTTGCAAAGGGCCGCCGCGGCCCAGCAGCCACGGTCTCGGAGAAGGAACATACTGAGGGAAAAAAGAGGCTTCAAACAACTAAGCGAGTGGAAGCCTGGTGGCCGCCGCCATCTTGCCCTGCGTGCGGTGCGTCAGAGCGCACGCCTGCGTCCAGCGTCGCCTCTGATTGGCGGGTTGGAGTTACAGCTGCTAAGGCAGCGGAGTGGCGCACGTAGACTCGGTGTGCATTCTTTAACTAATGGCGCTGGCGGGGCGTGTTCTGACTTGAAGGATGAGGTTAGGCCTTTCGGGTGGGCCAATCATAGTAGCCAGGTTGCTATCTAAAAACAATAAATTTAATCAGACTCTTTGAATTTTCTGGCACATTATACCTTTCTCCGTAAAAACTGTAGTCTGACCATAAATTCAAATTACATCTGTAGACAAAGAGTAGGAGGGGCGAAAGTTGGAGTTTCAGTGTCCAGCCTTTTGGAATTGACAGCTTTAGAGCCTTCTTCTGAGAGGTTATTTGACTAAGGCAACCTGTGTAGTGATAAGTAAAGTCATCAAATACACAGTTGTGTTGTTTGTGGTGCTACATGCTTGTAATCCCAGTACTAGGTGGCAGGAATAGGAGGATTGATTGCCTCAAGTTCACATCCATCTGGGTCTATATACTAATACCATATCCCCCAAGCCCTATTATTTACATAAAACTTGATCATTTTTTATGGAAATTTATATGTATGAGTATTTAGTCTGTGTAGCCATTTGAGTGTGTGAATGTGTGTTTGTGTGTGTGCACATGTATGTGTGTGTTGTGGGGGCTGGAGCCCACAGAAGTCAGAAAAGGGCATCAGATCCCCTTGGAACTGGAGCAACGAAGGGTTGTGAACCACCATTGTTTCACTAAGCTGGAACTGCAGGTCCTCTGTAAGAGCTCTAGGTCACCGAGCCATCTCTCCAGTCCCTATTTATACACATTTTAAACATTACATGAACACAGACATGGAGAATTAGAGAACTTGTAACTCCCAAGTGCTGTATCCCCACTTCACAAGAATGTCAGCCTTTTGTTGCTAGCAGCTATTTTTATATGCATGTACAATTTCCTCTGAATTAAAATTCCTTCCTGGAAGAAAATATACAAAATATACAAACAAACAAACAAAACTCCAGAAGTGAACAAAATTTACCAGTTCAGCTGAAACAAGATTTATAAGCTTCCAGGGACCATTGCTAGGGGAAAGAGCCTAGGACCATCAGCCATGCAAGTACTATGGGGGAGCTTCAGGGATGCAACTTCTGTGGGGTGCTGGGGTGGGCTTTTCTGTGATGCAGCTGTCTTTGAGTTATCCATCTGCCTGCAAATACCTCCAATAAACTTAGTTTCACTAAGCTAGATTTGAGTGGAATAATTTTCTTTGGCTTGTTGTTGGTGCCCTGAAACCACAGGAGGAAAAAAAAAAAAAAAAACCACACACACACACACACATACACACACACACACAACATTAGAATGCCATTATTTTGTACATGGATTGTGGTGATTATACTATCTTTCACTTTACTCCTCTCCACTTAACTATAGACATTTTAAAAATCTTAATTGCATACATGTGTGTATGTACATGGACTTACTCATGCCCCAGTGCAGATCAAAGGACAACTGGATGGAGTCAGTTCTTTTCATCCTGTGCCTTCTGGGCATTGAACTCAGGTCACCAGACTTGGCAGCTTGTTGAAGCATCCATCCAGTCCTCTTAAGAACACATTTCTTTAGCTGAGCACAATGCTACACAACTTTAACCCCAGCACTTGAGAGGCAGTCAGGTGGATCTCTGTGAGTTTGAGGTCAGCCTGGTCTGCAGAGTGAGTTCCAGGGCTATGTAGAGAGACCCTGTTTCAGAAAAGAAAGAAAGAAAGACAAGTAAACTTTTATTTTTTCTGAAAGTCCTTCACTGATTCTAGTATTGGTTTGTTTGTTGTGGGTGTTTTGTTTTATGTATTGACAGAGAAAGATTTTTCTAGTTCTATGTACTTCAGGACACCTGGCTGGAGAACTCCAGGCCAATTTTGTCTCTACCTCCCAACTTGCAGCAAGAAGGCTAAGATGGTGGAGGTGTACACCATGGAATCCAGTCTTTTATGTGGGTTCTAAGCATCAAAACCAGGTGTCAGGGGAGCATCCACATCTCAAGAAACTCCACCCCCCCACTGTGTTTTTGAGATATCTCACTTTGCAGCCCAGGATGAACTGGAACTTAACAATGATTTTTCTGTTTCAGCCTGCTGAAACAGCATTTCCATTTTATGCCACTATGCTTGGCTTGGATTTTTTTCCTCTTAGACAACTGTAGCTCAAACTGGCTTTGAAATCTCTATCTCCTGCCTCAGTTACTTATGTGTGGGGATACAAGTGTGTAGACCATGTCCAGCTCAGAAGTGAATATTCAATGAATAATGAAATTGAGAGCCTATTACGTAAATTGTTTTGTAATACCCTCTTTCACAAATAGTGGACATTTTTCAAGAATCATCAAATATTTACTAGCTGCTCTCTCCCAACTCCTCCTTTGCTCTTGCCCTCTCACCTTGGAATTGATATGTAGGTCAGCCTGGCCTTGAACTAGTAAAGATCTGACTGGAATCAAAGTAGTTTGCCACCAACTCACACCCAACAGGGTTTTTACTATGTAGCCCAGACTAGCTTTGAACTGTCAGCCTTTGAAGTGTTTATATCATACTTATGAACTACTATAGCTGAAATATACCACTTCTTGTTGGCAGACTTTTCTGTCTCACCAGCCAGTTCCCAAATAACTGCACAGAGACTTATTATTGTAAATGCTCAGACAATAGCTCAGACTTGTAATGAACTTTTACATTTTAATTTTTTTTTTTTTTTAATCTACACCCTGCCATTGATGGATGATACCTTTTTTTCTCCCCAACCAAGGTTTCTGTGTGTAACAGTCCTGGCTGTGCTGGAACTCCATTTGTAGGCCAGACTGGCCTGGAACTCACAGAGAGTGGTTTCCAATCCAGTCTCGGCTGGTCCCTACCAGTGGCCTAGAAAGCTCGCATCTCCTGGACCATCGACATTCCTGGAGGCGACAAGCGACCTTAGGTGGGCTCCTGGTCCGCCCATGGCGACACTGATAGGCTGCGTTCCCGCCAGATATTTAAGTCTCCTTTCTAGCGTTTAACGAGAATTCCCCTCCCACTTCCAGCAGTCTTTTCCAAAAGTTGATTCTTTCATCCCGGAGCGGAGAAAAGCTGCTATGGATGGTCACCACGGAAGGCCGACCTGCGAAGCTCGCCATGACGGAGTCCAACCAGACGGTGGCCTGTCCCAAGCGGGAAGCTGACGCCCTTAGAGGCGGGCGCGATCCCGGCATGCCGAGCTTGATGGGGATCCCACAGAGAAGCCCCGCGCCCGAGCGCCCGAACCCATTGGGGGGGGGTGTCCGTGTGCACCAAGGACCTACAACAGCACTAGGCCAGGGACCGACGGTAACAGCCGAACTGAACTGCCCGCCGTGAAGGAACCCCAGCTCCAAGCAATCCCTGATCCCGAGGTGCTCACTTTCCCGGAGCCCCAGCAACCAACCATCCCTTATCCTGAGCTGCTCACCAACCCAAAGGCCCAGCCAATAGCCACCCCTAACCCCGAGCAACCCAAGCCCATCTACCAGCTGTCCCTGAGCCCCAGCAGCCCGCCAAACTCCCAAGGTCACAAGGGGCCTGGCTGCTGGAGGGGCGCACCGCGGGGGGTCTAGGACTCAAGAAGGGGTTGAAAAACGACACTGAAATGCTGAGATCTCGAGGTGGGGGGCACCAAGGTGGTGAATGGGGTCTTGGGGCACCTGCTGTTAAGAATGCAGAGACAAGAGTTGGGAGTTCAAAGGCCTGCAGTAGATGAACACTGGCAGCTATTATGAGCATGTGAAGGTGAGTGGCCAAGACCTGCTTGCTGGAGGGGCTCTGTGTGCACTTCTCACTTGCCTCATGTGTTTGAGTTCTCCACAGTCTTGAGCTCCCCTCTTACCTTCTGGAACTACCCAAGCACTATTTTTCTTTTTTAATTCATTGTTAACCTGGAGACCAATTTTGATAGCTAGTTTCTCTTAACACTGCTTTGGAGGAACTCTGGAATTCCTCCTGAGGTGTTATGGTGGAGAAGATGTGATTTTTAAAGCAATCACAGTGGAAGGTCTGCACTCAGGATGGAGGATGACTCTGCTATGGCTGAGTGGATGGAGTCGTTTTCTTAATCTTCCCTTCTAGATTGAGTCCAGCCCATTCCAGAGATACTAGGACCACTTGCAATTATGCCAATTAGGGCAGAATTGTTTATAACTGGTTGGGTGAGGTGGTTGGATACTCAGGTGAGGGTCCAGTGACCTTCTCACACCTCCTTCAATGAGCAAACACTTAACAGTCAACAAGCCTAGCTCTGGTGCCCTTTGGAGAGCATGCCCCCGAATTCCAGAAGATAGTGGCAGTGTGGCTCAGAGTCCAGGTTGTAAGAAGTAAATCAATTGTAGTAGTTTTATTCAAATAATATGGCAACTACTGAAAGACCCCCAGAGACCCCAAGAGTTTGGAGCCTGTCAGGGGGAAGGCCCTTGCCCCCAAGAGACGAGACCAGACCACTGGATGCAAATGCAAGAGGTTGTTTATTGTTTACACAGGTACCTGTGGACGCTTCAGTCTTTCGGGGGACTGAGCGTGCTGAGGTTAAAACTCAGGCAGTTTATATAGGGTTGGGGTGGCAAGAAACAGGCTTACAGAAGCAGAAGCATGGTTACAGGGATTTCATTGTTTCATCTAAATGTAGCAGTTGTAGTTAACCAAGGACAGTTGGTTATTCGGGTTGGGCACAAAGAATACAAAGAATTCAGTTATGACTATCTCAGCATACTGGACACTGTCCTGCTGACCTTGCTTTGGTCCAAGCTGCAGACCACAGATATCTGGTTGGCGTTGGATGAGAGCAGCACCTGGTTCCCTCCAGTACTTTTCTCATAACTTGACCTTGGCAAATTAGCAAGAGCAATTTAAACAGGCAATAAGCATAGTGGGGGTCTTTCATTCCCCCCTTTTTCTATAAAATGAATAAAACCCTT